TACTACAACTACTACAACTACTACTGTTACTACTGCTACTACTACTACTACTACTACTACTGGAAACCTGTGCTGGAGCGCACGTCCCGGCCTCAAGCCCTGAAGCCTTCAAGCCACAGAGTGATGACTTACATGACTCGAAGTAGACCTCTTCAATGAGCGGTATTGTTGTGTGAAAAAATCTAGACCCGTGTACAGCGCGGTACAACATCGGGACACCCTACAAGACCCTAGCAGCAAACCTGCCAGCCGCAACGGCACACTCCCTTCCTTGCCTCTCCGCGTGGCTGGATCGGTCATGGTCCACGTAGACGGGACACAGCGGTGTGGGAAAAGCGGCCTGACCAGCAAGAGGGTTGAGACTTTTTTCGTGAGGTGTTCCGCAGCCCCTGACGTTGTTGACCTTTTGAAAAGCTCTACCCTAAATCAACATGGGCAAATAGGCCCTACCAGGGGGTCTATGGGAGGCTCCAGAGAACCAAAAAGGAAAGTTAGCACTAAATCATCCTCGCTACCGGAGATCGCACATAGTTGGACACGAACCCAGAGAGCCCAATACCCCGTAAATAAGGAATATGCCTGAAATTATCAGGGCCTTAATATTATGATTTAAGGTATATTCCTTAATTGAGGGGTATTGGGCTCTCTGGGAAGGTGTGGCCTCCAACATCCCTCAGGAAAATCGCCTGAGTACGCTCGCCACGCGCGCCGACTGCATTAAAGAGCGCGTGCCAAATCCCGTGGCCGAAGCCCACGAGGCTGTTAATGTAGGGGCCTTAATAAGAAGAATAAGGTTTTAGGGGTTCCTTGTTATATTTATAGAATAATATACCCTAAACCCTAAACCCCAAAGCCCTATTCTGAATTCTAATCATTAAGGCTCCTATATTAGGCAGCTCGTCTCCACACGCCCTGGTCTGCGACGAAATGGGTAGTTCTCTAAAATAGGGTTCCTTTTAGGGTTTAGGGTCTGGGGGTTTAGGGGTTTAGGGTTTAGGGGTTTAGGGTTTAGCCTGGCCGTCTATCGGCTGGCCTGCGTGGAGCTCGCGTCGACAGATAGTCCACAGCCATTGCAGGTGCTCCGCGTCATCCGGTTCGGCTCGCTGCAGTTGGCACAGAACCACACCCTAATGCCCCTAACCCTAAACCCCAAACCCCAAACCCTAAACCCCAAACCCCAAACCCAAAACCCCAAACCCAAAACCCCAATTTCCCACCAAGGCCGGGGTTAGGGCTCAGGCACTTGGTGAAAGCTTAAAGCCATACGATGCCCGAAAATACTTTTCAATTATTACTACTGTTGTTATTATTATTGTTATTATGATTCTTATTATTTTTGTTATTATTATTCTTATTATCATGATCACTATTATTAGTATGATCATTACAATCAATATTATTGTTATGATGATGATGATGGTTATGATTATATTACTACTATGACTAGTATTATTACTTTTGCCCCTAAAACCCTATAAAGGCGTAGAGTCCTAACAACAGAAAATGCTACAGCTCTACACCCGGGAAGCGCCTTTCTCCGACCTACAGCCCTAAGCCAATAAATAAACAATAAGGGGACCCTCAGGAGATACTATGGTTTTGTGTATTTTTTTCCGACCTCTGGTCGGTAGTTCTCTAAATTAATTAAGGTCCCTTTCGGCGTCCTTTTTAATATGGATCCCGTACTATTTTGGGGGACAGAAGAAGGGACGCTCATTCAGAGAACTACCCCCTGTGGAATTATGTAAGGTTCTCCTTAGTCGGCCCTACCTTAACCCACGAGAACCTACTTTTTGTTGGGTCCCTATATAAATCCCATATGAGGGCTTATCATAAGAACCTACAAAAAAGGTGGGTTTTGGTAGGTTAAGGTAGTCTGAAAGTTTGAACTGTTCTCAGGAGCAGGCATTGCCACCGCTACAACGGGAACCCCATCCCCCAATCCCTAAGCCTGAAACCCTAAACCTTAAAACCCCAAACCTTAAACCTACCTAGACCCCAAAGAACCTACCGTTTTAAGGACTTATATATAAGGAAATCATGACGAGGAGCCCTTAAACCCTATTTCGAGCATGGTGGCTCAGCCTAGGGCCTAGGGTTTAGGGGTTTAGGGTATTAGGGTATTATGGTATAGGGTTTAGGGTAGAATAGTAGGATTATAAAAGCACCAAAAAAGTTAAAGGTTACCTACTC